CTAATATTCATCACAAAAAACATATTTTTATATTAAAAAAATATAACATTAAAAAAAATCCAACCAGCTCACAAAAAATATAGAGAAAATTATAAAATACACCCTAAAATGGGCTATCTATGCAACTTACCCCCACAGACTTTTTTTCCCCAAACAACCTTTCCTTACAAAAACCCCTCAAGGTAAAAAGTTGTTACTTTTTGGATAAAAATACCCTTCTTGTACAAACCAAATCAATGCGCGATCCCAAGTAGAGTAGTGCCAGAGCGCAGTATACTACTGCCATGGTGGAATGTCAAGAAGCACTGTCGGAGCGCAGTGCTACATTGCCGAAGCGAACTGCCGAAGTGCGTATTTTCAGTACCGGAGCGCGTTCTCAAATTGCCGGAGCGTGTAGTATCACTGCCGGAGCGCAGTTCTCAGTATACCGGAGTGATACGGGTCTGACAAAGCACTGCCGGAGTGCACATTGTGACTGCCGGAGCGCGCATTAGGACTGCCGGAATGCAGTCCTCCATTGCCGAAGCCGAAGGCCGTGTGAAATGAAACGAGGGTATTTTAGTCTTATTTTATGTTACTTTTGGGTTGGGGGGTTTTGCGAGGAAAGGTTGTTTGGGGGAAAAAAGTGTGAAAAAAAATTGAGGTGGGGGTAAGTTGCATAGATAGTCCATTTTATGGTGTATTTTGTAATTTTCTCAAAAATATATAACATTAATAAAACGTAATTTTATTGAAAAATATTTTTTTTTAAGAACCCTAAAATCGAGCCAAAACCATCAATAACAAAGAAATTTAGAGTCCAAATCAACCCCAATCTTTCCTTTTTTGAATAAATTGATCTGGGGATATGATAGATATTTCCATTACGATTCAAATTCCCCAAATTTCATGAAGATCCATTCACTATTGAGATTGTTCTTCACAAAATGGCGGATTTTTCACTTCATGAAAATTTCAGAAAAAAATGCGGAAAAAAAATCAATATAAAAACATTTAATCAATAATAAATCAATATACCTAGTTTATTTGATAGATGAAGCCTTGATGATCAAAATGCACTGATCAATTCGATAAAAAAAGACCAATTGATCGACCAGAAATCAATTTTTTTAGATTTAAATTAGTTATTTGAGCAGCAGCACTTCGGGCCTAGAAAAACCTCCAATCTTCATCGTTTTGAATAAATTGAAATATGGAAACGTTTAAGGCCTCAATAATGAATCAAAGCCCTCCATTTTTATGAAAATCCATGAGGTATTGAAGCTTCTATTGATAAAATGGTGGAAATTTCTAATATTAAAAAATCCGTCATTTCAATCCATCAAGAACTCTTTGTTTTTTGATTTTTTATTCAATAATCGATGATTTATAGAAAATTACTAGTGTATAATATCAATAATTCACCGACAAAAACAAAAAAATTAGAAAATGGAATGAAAAAAGGTTGCAAAAAGCTTAGTCACGGTTTCTGTTTAAAATAACGGCCCCTGTGTCAAATAACAACCATTATCTATGATATTGCCGTTATTTACAGTATATCGACCGTTATATGGGCTAAGCAATCCGGTTAGCAAAAACTGGTCGGTTTAGTGAGAAAACTGCTGGTTCGAGGGCTAACTGGCCGGTTTTTTGTACCCATTTTTTTTTGAGCTTACCATCTTGCAAGTAGACCACCAAAACCGACCTTAACCCGAGACGCCACCCCACCGATAGCGATCTAACCGGCCGGTTTTACAAACACTGGTTTGACACTCATCACCCTTCTTAGACCACTATGACACCATTAACCATTATTATAAAAAGGCCACTATCACTCTTAGCTTGTGGCACTTTGAGTCTAGTCAATGACGTACTTACAACTACTCGATTTAAAATTTAGCACACAAGTATAATTGTGACCTATTAGTTCAAAAAATAAATTTATATACTTTTTAAAATTTATTACTTATTATTAAAAGGTGTGATTTATAAATGCAGATTCCTAAACAATCAAAGTAATGCACACCATCAAATATAGTAAAAAAATTTCATTTCAATGTTAAAAATCTTTATGATAGCCTAAAGAGTTTTTTTATATTTAATTATAAAATTTAAAGCTTCAAAAATAGCGTAGATCAAGTGGATACGAACTCTTAATAATCTTAAAAATTGATGATCTGAAAAATGCATTACAAAATGTACTATTTCCAATGCTGAAATCTTTTTTTCTCATTTCCATACATTTTGAGGTCAAGATGATCGATCTAATGAGTTTTGAGGGCCAAATCAACCTCTTCTAGTGAATTTTTTAGGAGTGCTTAAATTGATTGTTTAGGGCCTCACCCCTATATAAACTATTTCCTTACACAATAATGTGTATAGTACACGAATAGTTCATATGTATCACAGTACAAAGATGACTATTGGTCCATCCCATTGTGCAATGGTGCATGTACCTAAGCCAAATTCTCGGTATTTGTCGAACTAGAATCATTGTCCTAGCATTCCCTCTAATTTTCAATTATTTTATGGGGTAGGGTTTGGATATGGTTTACAGAAGGGTACAACTTTAAACAATCAAAGTAAGGTGCACCTCCAAACTTTATCATAGGATGTAATTTTGATGTCGAAAATTCTTATGATGACTCAACAATCTATTTTCCTATCTAATTATAAAATCTTAAACTCCAAAATAGTTTAAACCAATCTATCAAACCTGAATTGGGTTTAACTCCACTACCCAAATTAGAAGACAACTTGAAAGATGGTAAAAGATGACAAATTAGTGAAAGCTGCATTGCTTATTTTATGGAGGATAATTTTGTTGTGTTTGAGGATTATGACAGGGTTCAGTTTGTTTAGAGCCGAGGCTCTAAACAATCAAAAGCATACCTTTAAATAGGGTTGAGAAATGTGGTTTCAGTACTAGAAATCTTTGTGATAGCCTTAAAATATATTTTCATCCTTAATTATAAAATTTAGAGCATAAAAAATAGTATAGATCAAGAAGATCTATGAAAAATTGAAAATTTTGAAATTGATGGTCCAAAAATGCGTTACAAGATGCACTATTTCCAAAACTTGAAATCCATTTTTTCTCATGTCCATGTATCTTGATGTCGAGATGGTCAATTTGAGGATATCTGGGCATCAAAACAACCTCTTCTAGTGAAAATTTTGAGGTGGACTATAATTTGACTGTTTAGAACCTCCTCTCTATATAAACTTTTCCTTTTAAAAAAGGTTTTGGTAATGGAAGCATTAGTGGAAAAATATTAGTGTTTTAAAAATCAGCGCTTTGGATCAGAACCAGCTGATCTAGATCGAGACTCCATCCGGCTGATCCGAATCCCATCAAATATCTAAAACCGGTCAATTCCTCATGTGAACGAACCGATTCTAACCAATTCTCTTGCATAACCAGCTCGTTCTATTAGAGAACCATGCCACACCACCCAGTTCAATAATTATTTTGTAAGTTATTATAGTTTTTCAATTTGCAAATGTTTTTGACAAAAAAAAATTACTTTCACCCTCCCTCCCTATGACGGTGCCCCACATGTAGGAGACACATTTCTTAAATTGTCTTGTACCCCATCTCATCCCACAAAATCGATGTGGGATTGAAGTGATGATACCCCTCTCTGTGTGTGTGTGTGTGTGATAGCACGTGACTGAATCTATTTTGTTAGAATTACCTCCAACTATAAAATTTTAAACTTCAAAAATGACCCAAATCAAGTGGATCTATGAGAATTTTTAAAATGGATGATCAAGACAATGTGTTGCAAGATATACTATTTTTGAGACTCAAAGTCCCCTTTTTTTTTTTCACATCTATACATTTTGATGTCAAGATGATCAATAGAGGGTTTTCCAACATCAAAATGAACCTTTCCAGTGGATTTTTGAGGTGCACCTTAATTCTTTGTAACGTTATATAAACTTTTTATTTTTTTTAAGACCCTGATAAAAGCAAATGGAATGAAAGTGGGCAACACCATGCTCCCCATCATTTGGTATTATACGACCGGATGATAATGATATTTTTAGTACTATAATTTCCTGCAGTCCTTACAAAAAGATAGCGTTAAAAGGGCACCTTCCACTTGGCCTGAACCCAGATTTCGGAACCCTTTCTACTTTTAAAATGAGAGACCCATGACAAATACATAGCCATGCGAATGCAAATGCAATCCCAATTCTCTTGAACAACGATACAAAAACAATACAAAATACAGCTTTTGTCTTTGATTGGCAGACCAAAAGACAGCTTTCTCACAAACCTATTGTTTACAAGATTCTACATAATTCCATCAAAGTGGGGTGAACTTAAAAATAGCCTCTCAAAATGCTGCTCCCCAAAAAACCCGAGCAAAACTAGGGTCATTAGATTCCCCAATAAACCCTACCAACACTTTTGCCAGTCTCACCAGATAACAAAGAAGAAGAAGAAGAACAGGGAGCACCCCAAATGCATTATCAGGTCTTATGATAGAAATGGTTCATTTTTGCAGTTAAAACTGGCAACAACATACATCATGAAGCATATGGAAGATGGCATGTATCACTGGCAAATATCAGAATGTCGAAATAAAACGGCTGCTTCCTCTACGGCCTCGGCCAGATAATTTAGGCACTGTTCTAGGCTGTATTATCAAGAAATAAGTCAGTGTTCCAAGTCATCTCAGTAATGCAACATTGCTAAGTCTTTTTAAGGTCATGTTATGAGATTTCTCTCCTTAGCATTTAGAATTTTTAATGAAACTTGTTAAGAAAAATAGAAATTTATTGAAGAATCTCATTTATTTACAGAATTTAAAAATAGACCCTGTATTTTATAATTTTGGCTCAAGCACCATTTTTTAAGAGCACATTGTTTTTCTTTTTTCTCATACTTCATCAGATTATGTTTAATTTTGGGTGTCCATACTTCTCACCTTTTTAGACATGCAAAAAACACCAAAAGAATAATTTGAAAGAAATAAAACGATCAAAATACTCCTAAACCCCTGACAATTGTAGCGGTGTTTTGGTCATTTTATTTATTTCAAATTATTTTCATGTATTTCTTTACATGTGCGTGTGATGGTGAAAAATATGGAGGCCCCAAAATTGAGCTCAATCTGATGAAAAGAAAAATTAAACTAAAATGCAATATGCATTCTAAAAAAGTAGGACTTGAGAGTAAAATATAAAATACATGAGACTATTTTTGAATTTCAAAAATAAAATTGTATTTTTCAGTAACTTTATTAAGAAAATAAATGTATTGATACTGGATGAGTTACATGTTCATAAATATTAGAAGTTGTGAAATCACAATAAAAAACAAAAATTTAGAATGCTGAATTTTAAAACTAGAGAAATTTTTCAATTTTTTGTTCATTTTTTAAGTTTTTATTTTTTATCTTTTTGTTCATTTTTTACTTTAGGTAGGATAGTTGGGAAGGGGAATGGAACTCGAGATGTCATGTTGTGGCACCCACCACCCTGACCACCTATGCCATGAGTCCATTCCTAGTTTTTTGCTCTTTTTCATTTAGTAAGAGTAACATTTGACGGTGAGGCTCACTATGTTGTCATGGTGGGTAAGCAGCACCCTGGACTAGTCAACATCCTTTTTGTAATTTTTAAGATTTGTTTATATATTTAGAAATTTTTGCTCTAATATTACCCAACAATTTTAAGAGAAATGAAAATGTTAGAAATATACCTCACTATGAAATTTCCGAGACCAAGATTTTTCACTACTGTCACTAGCTTTCAGGATTCGCCCTCTTCTAGTTATCTTATCTTGGTGCTTCTTCTCAGCTGCCTTCAGTTTGCTAAGACTCGGCCTATAAAGAATCACTGCTCGACCAATTTGTCCAATTGCCACAGACCCAGTTGATTCTTCCAATTGTTTAATCACATCATTTAGTTCTCCTGGGCAACTTCCATGTATTTTGAGCTGCCAAATAAATTACAGAGCATCTAAAACTGTTAAAACTTAGAAATAAGTTTTACTTTTCTAAAAAAGAAAATTTTCCAGTACTTTAGCAACTGAATTACAGGGATTACTATCAGAGCCCACCTTTTGCTATTCCCACCCAAACATGGTGTGACTACCAAAAAGTAGCTAGAATTTCCAGTTTTGCATTTGAGTGTGACTGGCATTTTGCATGGGTGCAACTAGCTGTTCCCAAGAATTACTAATAAAATGGTAATAATTCTGCAAAAAAAGGGGAAAAGCTCCCCAAAATTTGGAAAAACATATATGGAGGACTGAGATAATAATGTAGCAACAAGTGTTGTATTATAACATGTCATCATCGTCATCATCAGAGCTTTATCCCAACTGTTTGGGGTCGGCTACACAAATCATGTTCTGTCATTATGCTTCATACCCTCAGTAAGACACATAACGTAGATTCTAAGGATTCATTGAAAGTTGTGACAAAGTTGTATGCTAGCTGCCTACCTAACACAACCCTCCTTTACCTGAGCTTGGGACCAGCATTGATTGGCATGGGGCCAGCCAAGGTGGAGTTTTGTATAATAACAGATAACAACATAAAAACAAACTGCACAACCAACAACTAAGGAAAAACTTTATGTAAGGTTGAGGCCCTAAACAATCAAATTAAAGCGCACATCAAAAATTTACTAGAAGAGGTTGTTTCGATATCCAAAACCCTCAAATTGATCATCTTGACCTCGAGATGTAGAGACGTAAAAAAAAAAAAGAAGTTTCTAGTCTGAGAAATAATACATCTTGTAAAGCATTATCTGGGCCGTCAATTTTCAATATTTTCAAGGGTTTATAGATTTACTTGATCTTCACTATTTTTAAGCTTTAAATCTTATAATTCGAGATGAAAATAAATTTTCAGGCCTTCACAAAGATTTTTGCTACTGAAAAATCATCTTTTGATACTATTTGGAGGTACGCCTAACTTTGATTGTTTAGGGCCTCAACCTTGTACAAGCCACAACCAAAACTAATAACTTAAGAACAAAACTAAAAGTAAGACCCACAAGTATATAAAAAAAAACCAGCCATGTCAACGAACATGTGTTCAAAGAAACCACAAAACATATCCAATTCTCTATGGAAGAGAATCCTTCATTTGGATACCACCACAATAATTTGGGAACTGATTAGATTTCTTACAAAGGAAATCCCATCAAATAGAGTTCTTAGCTCTGCAAGAAAATTAGACATGATGGCAGAAGCCCTGCTCACCATTTAATCCATGCAATATACCACCACAGCTAGCCACATTAGCTATATCCATTGTAACTACAACATGTGGCCTTTGGGCTGGTATTGCATATCTAAACATGTTAACACCCCACAAAACATGAAAGCATAACCTAAACTTGAACTAGTGACAATTTGAAGTGAATCTGTTCATGCTACTGCAAAGATATGTCTTCATCTGTGATTTTTTTTTATTTACATATTACACTTTACTTATTCAAGCTCAAACAAGCACCGTTTCACTGAATATTAGTAAATATACAGATGTATCAAGATATATCCTCATATGAAGGATACCAACACCAACACTTGTATAAGTAAATAACACCTAAGGCACTTGTCGGACACGAACACTCTATCAGTGTCCAACACTGAATGTAGCAACACAGGAGTCATCCACAACAGTGCCCAAAGAGATGAAGGCAACCAACATAAAAGGGATGATCTTCAGTGCTTTCCAAGGGTGATCTTCAGAACTTTCCATAGGCAAAAGCATCCCTTCTCAAACTCTACAAGATGCCATGATCAATAGTAGCAGGAGAGGTCATTGATTAACCATATTCCTTGCCAACATCAACCCCCATCCCCAAAAAAAAAAAAGAAAACAAAAACCACTTATCCACCACCATACCTAGGAAACTTGAGCCACATTACAAGAAAACCCTTAACTTGCAATTCATCCTTCCTCTATGGGTGTTTGGAGCTCAAAATTCTTTTAACGTTTTAACATAAATATAATGCTCGCATAAAAGATGACATAAAATATCAGAATTGTCCTTGTTGATAGGTAATGCTCATGGAGACACCATGGGGATGCTTGGCGTAACTGTGTTTAAAAGCAATATAGAAATTAAACTTATAGGTTTCTATATACTTCATTATTTAATAACTGTTAATGTCTTCTCGAATGTAGCACTAAACTAGTACATTGAACATTATTTTTGTCACAAATAATACATCAAACATATAAAAGTTAATTTAGAAAATAAAAAATTGTAGATGTTTTCTCTAAATTTTATGTTTACAAAAAATTTGGAGTTTTTATATTTTTTCTTTACTCTTTATTTGACTTCTTGCCCATTCCAACCAGTTGAACCCCCCAAGAAAGCAGTGTGGAAAGGACCAAAATCTTTTTCAGTTTGATGATTGGTCTTTACTGGAAACATAGGAAAGTCAGTTTAAAACTTGTATTCACTTCCTTTTAAGCAGACAATTGACATTAATAAATCATTAGTTTCAGCATTCGGAAACAAGATGTCACATCAGCAAAACACATACCAATTTTAATTTTCACATACTTTTTTGAGGGGGGTTCATCTTTTCATATATTGGAGACTTCATCTTCTATATATTAGGAAGATAAGTGGCAATAGGGTAGGGTTTACCTGGGGCAACAAGCCCTGAAGAAGACTGTTGGAAGTGTGGGACGAGAGAGTGAGCAAACTGTCACGGGCTGAACTACAGCCATAGTCATTTATATAAGTTGGTTTGTAAGAGGTTCGTTGGGAGCGCAGTATGGAAGGCAACAAGCTAGCAGGTGGTGTTGATGAGGATTTGGATAAGGTAACACCATTATCGGTTCGTTGTTGATCAATAGAGGGCGGTGTATTAGATTGTGTAGATAGTGGTGTTTGTGTTGATGGAGATGACTGGTATTAGGTAGAACGAGATCATTAGCAACTCCATCAGACTGTTTGAAATCTTACCTAGATACGAAATTTCACATCAAGGATTTGGGACTGCTCAAATACTTTCTTGGTATCAAGGTTTCCTGCTCAGCCATGGGCATCTTCCTTAGCCAACAAAAATACATCTTGGACATTTTGCAAGAAACTGGTTTTCTTGGATCCAAACAAGTCCAATTTCCCATGGAGCATAATCTTCGGTTAAGGTGTGGCTCGTATTCTATATATTCGGGCCTCAAGCCCCCATGGATATATAGTATAGAAGCCACACAACTAAATTACTGAACCCCATGGATGCGTTACAGAATACATACATTGTATTACTAGAAATCCCTTAGACGTGTGTATAATACCCTATTTATAGGGTTACATCTTTGTGGTACCGCCTGTTTACAACTTAACTTAACTAAACGTGTACAAGACTATGAAGTCAAAGATATCATGTTGTGTTTACAACTTAGTTAAACGTGTCGTGTTGTGTATATTTCAACACTCCCCCTCAAACTCAAGATGCATTAAGAGAAAGCAACTTGAGTTTGGACAAATGAAGGCAAGCCCCAGACATAAAGCACAAATAGAAGAAGCTAGAGCAGCGACAAATCAGCAATCCTCATAAACCGATGCCTCGAACAGAGAAAGCTCGAGCAATAGTCCTCATGAATAGATGACCAGAATAAAGTAGGCTCAAGCAATATAATCTTCAGATCTTTGCTTAAACGAAAGGCATTAAAACTGTCAAGACAACTGAGAAAACAATATGGCACTTAGAAGTGCCAACAAAACTCGCTGAAAACTCATGACCGATTTAACATCTCGAATCATCAGATCGGATCGGATCGAGTAACAAACTCGATCGTACAAAAAAGAATCTTCACAATGAAGATATAATATGAATGAAGTGGTTCACCATTTGAGAGATTGTGACCCACCAATTTTGAAAATGTGCAAATAAATGCTTCCCTTCTTAAACAAAATGGTCCCTCACTACACCGGAGAACCATCACTACCTACCAAAATATTTCTTGGATCCCTCTGTCTTTCTCCTTTCACTCGAACTTTCTCCTTTCTCTCTCTCTCTCTCTCTCTCTCTCTCTCTCTCTCTTTGTTTTACCCTTATCCACTCATTGTCTCTCTATTCCCTTTAATAAGTAGATAATAATAAAAAAAGACAAATAATGGGTTTGATAGTGGTAAAGAGAGAGAGCAGTAATTGCACACAGAGAGAGGCAAATCATTGTGGAATGGGATTAAATTTTCCCTTGAAGAAGCAGAGGTTTCTATTATCAGGCATCTTAGCATAGTGGTCAGCAAGCACATCATAGAAACACAATGAGCTCTTGCTGGCAGCAAAGAGAGAAGCTTGCGGCATCCTGCTGCAAGAGCATTTGAAACCAAATGCTCAACAAGGGAAAGAACTATAACATCTCCTTCCTTTTTCATCTCTTTTGAATCGTGATTATTGAAATTTGCTCACCCTCTGTCTCTAGACTCTCTACTGTGTTGAAATATACACAATCTAATATCTTTGACTGCATAGTTGTGCACACGTTTAATTAAGTTGTAAACAGCTTATACACAGGTTGTACCACAAAGATGTAACCCTATAAATAGGGTATTATACACTCGTTGAAGGTATCTCCAGTAATACAGTGTATGCATTATGTAATACATCCATGTCATTCAGTAATTCAATTGTGTGGCATCTATAATATGCATCCATGGGGGCTTAAGGCCCAAATATACAGTTTTTCACGTTATAACATGGTATCAGAGTAGGTCCGATCTATGCACCTGTAAGCTTCCGCCATCTGTGTCATCTATCTCAGCCACTCTGATTTTGATATGTGAGCATGAAAGCTCCTCCGTCATTTGTCCCATTGCCTCTTGCCAAGATTTTCAGCCACCCGGATCCCATGCCTTTTGTGCCAAATGTTTCTGCCACTCTGATAGGATTTGTTTGCCTCAGAACTAATATATGTGTTTTTATCTCTCTTCTCGGATATCTTGGGTAAGAGAAAAAAG